CTATATATAATTCCCTTTTTTGACCTGTAAACCATTTTGGGTGTTATTTATCTGAGTGGAAAACAATATCTCTTCAAAACCTAGAAATATCTTGGCAAAAACAACTCATTTAAGTAGCTAGTTCATTAAGCATCTCATTCTTATAGAAAAGGTTAAAAAAAAAAAAAAACCAAGAAAAGATCAATATCTCCATGAGATATAATGATGGGTGGGTGAAGGGCGAAAAACCTTTTGGGCCATCGGTCTCGCGACGAGGTTCTGGGTTCACAAGGCTTTGACACGACCTCCAATATGCTACATCTTTATACTTCCAAAGTCCATCCAGTATTTGACCGCACCAAAGGTGCTTTTGTTTCTTCTTCCTCAATGTCTTTATTTCCTCTAATCCTTGATTAATATATATAAACAACCAATTAATTAAGCACAAGTGCGTATAACAGAATTAAAAGCACCATCAATTATCAGGTTAGAGGACATAGAGAAAGAGAGAGTACTGTACCAAAGCCCTTCCAAGACAGACCAAATAATAAAAACAGGTGAATGCCATGAAAATGTCACGACATGTCCGATAATTTTTCGGAACATCATTTCCATGTTCACAGTTGTAATCAATTGGGTTTTCTGTATCCGCAGTGCTTCGGGGACGAGCTACGACAAAACATGAACTTCATTCAATTTTCAGATCATAATTATAAAGCAAAATTAAGATAAACAAAATACTTTCTTTTCATAAACATGAACTTGCCAGTCTGCTGGGATTTTGACTGATGGTTGGTGCTTCTCAACCGCTTCACGTATATACCTTCCGCATGAAAAAGGAAAATACATAAATATAAAAAATAATTACAATATTGATTTTTATATTTTTTGAAAAAAAATAATACTCCCTCCGTTCTTTTTTATAGACCAAAATAGACAAGAGTTGGGTTTTGCTATTTATAAAACAATTTACAAAATATAAGTAGTAATTAATATATATGTTTTCACTGATACCTTTATATAAACAATGGCCTTAGCTAATAATTAAGAGTGTGTGTGAGAAAGATTTAATTAAGGGCATTTTGTAACGGAGTATAATTAAGTGGAGCATGCGTGGGTGCCAATGATGAAGAGGGCAACTATATTTGTGTGTCTGTATTTATATATATATTCCTCTAGTCCTATTTATAAGAATAAAAAAAAAGATTAATTTTAATCTTATTTATAAGGCATGCACTTAATTATTTTTATGTCATTTTGTATTTCTGCCCTTATTAAAGATAGAAACAAATTAAAAATAATTGTTTTTTTTATTAGGAGAATGGAAGTAAAAACTTATTAAATTTTAGGATAGAGTTAATAAAGTTTAAAATTTTATTCAATTCAAGTAAAATATGCTAAAAATAATTTATAAATAGAATTAAAGAGAGTACTTACACTCATATGCCAATATTATACCATCTAAAATTGCTGCTGCTTTTGAAGGCAGAAGGTTTGTCGGCTAGGATATGGAGAGGGGTAATTCCCTTTTCATCCACAGAACCCACAATTTCTTTTTGGTACATATTAATGATTTCAAATGCCAACTCTGCAGTGAATAGAATAATTCACAGGAGCAAGAATTCATTAATTAAAGGCATCAATAAATAAATCATTAATTAGTTGTAAATTTATAACAAGTCCGCCCCCTACTATGTTTACCAATTACTTTGGACTAAATTTTTGTGGTATTTAAACTTCATGATGAACAATTTTAAAAATAAATATAATAAATTTTTTTGAAATTGATAATTTTATTTATAAATAAAAAAAGACACTCGGTAATTTTTCTTATATTTGAGAAGGGGAGTAAAATTTACGCACCAAAGTAGTCTCGGTAGAGGGTGCAATGAAGGACTGTCTGGCCATCGCTTGCTCTTCTGCATGGCCCAAGAGACTTGTCGGCGCAACGAGATTGGAGGTAAAAGAAAACATCGTTATGTCCATTTAAAGCAGCCAAGAACAGAGGAGTCTCTCCATTATTGTTCCGTTCTTCAATCAACACGTGTCCTTGATGACGATGGTGATCAGCTTCAACGATGCACTCACACATCTGGAGCGACCCTATGGATGCTGCTCGATGCAACGCTGTGTCACCTTCAACATTCTTTGTTTTCAAACTCTCCACCGCCCCCGACGTCTGCTTAATTTCATCCACCAGCTGCTTAACTGTGATAGCATTGTTCTCGTTCGCCGCCACGTGCAACGCCGTGTCTTTATCACTGTTGACGGGCATCTTGTGAATCATTGCGTTGTCTTTGTATGCCGTCACCACTTCACTCCATTCACCATGGAACGTCCATCGGTATAAATCCATCCGCGTCATCGAAACAAGTTGAATATCCATCGATGAATCCATGTGTTGCATTTTGCAGCAATGCGAGAATTACTGGCAAAACTCTCGTCGTCGTGTGTGGGCAGTCACCTTGGTGCGTGGTAGCCTTTTATACGTGATTAACTACCAAAATCATGTCCCTTATGTCTGAAAAAGCAGAGCAGGAACCTCTGGGAAGCAATGCCAGTAGGGCCAGGGTCCCAGTAGACTCATTTTATTCCAGTAAAACTCTAATAAATTTTAAAATATAAAGTAAGTCCCTTAGATGTGAACTGGTATTTTTAAATATAAAGTCAAGTCACAACAAATTTGGGAGAAAAAAAATCACAAAATAGAAAAATATTTCAAATTTAGGGGACAAATTTTTAATTGTGTCGTCTTGAATCTGCAAACTCACTTTTCCGATTTTAACATGGAAAAAAAATTTTAATGATTAAATTTAAAAAATAACATGTCATCATCTAATAACTTTAAGGAACTTGCAACTTAATTTGTCTTGTTAAATTTGCAACTCATTTTTTTAACTTTAAAACTAGAAAAAGATTACATTATGTAAAAAATACTAGTTAAGGATCTAAGGGACTTATTTTATATTTTCAAATTTGTTACGGCTTTACCTGAATAAAATAATAATCCTTTTTGAACTTAAATGCCATCCTTCCATGACAATAATATCACCTTTCCTTGTATGGAAGGGCAAAGTATTATTATCTTTTGCTTTTTAATTAATCTCAATTTTGTTATTTGTGTTGTGGAACACGTTGTCTACCAGTTCAAATCAGACGAGCAACCCAAAAAAACATAAAAATCCATTTTTTTGTTCTCAACTTTGTCATCTGTTTTAAGTCAGTCGATGTATTATCGATCATATATACCTTGGACATATTCTGAATTTCTGATGAACAGCTGCTAGCGACACAGAGGGATGAAGTCTAGAAAACTTATTTGATTTGGAGGTAAAATTCATGACATACATTAATATACTATTTCGTTTTTAAATATAAGAAAAAAATAACCAACTCATTTAGTTTAAAAAAATTAGTTAAACATAATAATTGTGTCTAGAATTAAAAAATTTGGATTAAATTAATGAAACAAATTTGTCTCGTGAAAATGAACATTGATTTTATGTGGGGAAATTTGAAAAAAAAATGTTATAAATGTTAGAAGAAGATTATCTCCATATATAATTAAGTTCCTGACTGATTGCCTCCACAATAAATCAAGAACATTAAGTTTTGTCCAAAACAAAACCATATGTGCAGTAGTATATAACAAAAAAGAACGAATATACTAGATCAATTACTAGATTAAATTAGCTTATTTAGAGAAGGACAAATAAATAAATATATAGCTAGGTGGAGCCGGACAGAGTTCATAACTCAAATAAATAAATTAAAGTTTAATAGTAAATAAAATGTACCAAATGCTAAAAATCCATAAATTCATATCTAGCCTGCACAATTTAAAGTTTAATAATAAATAAAAAGTAACAAAAGCTAAAAAGCCATAAATTCATATCAAGCCTTCACACTTCAGCAATCTTGAGAGTTACAAAATTGGATAGAACTACTTGTCCTGCGAAAGGCAACACTCATATCATTTATTCCCATGTGTTCCACGAATTAAATACAGATAGATATATTTTATTTTCTTTGTGGCCGAAGACTACAGAGAGAAACAAACTTACTTGAATCCACACAAGTATTTTATCGGTTTAATTTAAGAGAAAATTGGTGAAAATAATCTAGTTGGAAGCAAAATTAATCAAAGGGACCAAATGTACTTGAAGAACCAAGGCAAATATTTTATTTATTAAATAATTTGAACAAATAACTAAATGCCCCTTTGTGTTAATAATCTTTTTTTTTAAAAAGCACAAAATTTGATTGTTGGAGCTCCAGTCCCTCCTCCAACAGTGACAATACACTTGCCAGAGCTCTAGATAGCAAGTGAAGGGTCATTGGAACCAACACCACTTGATTGCATGTAATCATTAAGCATTACATGTAAATTCAACAACTAGAGGGTGCAAGGATTTTAATTTAGGGGACAAAGGCTTTGGCTTGAGTGCAAGGCTTTTGGCTTAAGATGCAAGGGGTATGGCTTGGGTGTAAAGCTTTTGAGCGAAGGTGCAAGACTTGTGGCTAGGGTGTAAGGCTTCTGACTTGAGGTGTAAAGGGTATAGCTTAAGTGCAAGGCTTTTAACTTGAGGTACAAAGGTTATAACTTAGGTGTAAGGCTTCTGATTTGAGGTGTAAGGGTTATGGCTTAGGGTGCAAAGGGTATGGCTTAGGTGAAAGGGGTTTGGCTGAGGTGCAAAGCTGCTGATTTGAGGTGCAAGGGTTATGACTGAGGTGCAAGATTTCTAGCTTAAGGTACAAGGCTTCTGGCTTGAGTGCAAGAGAGATGTTTAGAGTGAAAGGCTTCTAGCTTAGGGTACATATGTTATGGCTTAAGATGCAAGGCTTTTACCTTGTGTTATAGCAATGTCATTTTCATGTAATATGTAGTCATTTTCATAATCTGCTAGAAATTACATGTCAATTATTTCTCAAGCATGCTTGCAAATTTTTTCCCATGTCTATTTACATGTGTAATCAATGGTGATTTACATCTAAATCCGAGGCACTAACAGGGGTGTCTTCTCTGTGTGATTGATTTACATATAATTCGTTGGAGATTACATATAAATTATTCCTCAAGCGTGCTTGCGAATTTTTTCCCATATTCATCTCATATCAATAATTATGAGATGAAGAAAAGACTACTCCATAAAATGGTTTACCAAAATTTATTTATGCCTCCAATAAGATGATTAGACTAAAATTTGTGACAACAAGATTTTCTATTTAAATATGCACATTTTCAATTGCAGCACTTAAATGCATCAAACCAATAAAGTATTGTGAAACTTCTAGTCTATTTCATACATAGACTAAAAATATTCCCTTTGAGATTGTGCAACTGCTACCTTTTACCTTCGTCAATCTCAGTCTCGCAATCTCACAGCCTTCAACTTTTAGTCTCTATCCCATTCATTTCTAACCCCAATGAATCGCACATGAAGCTCGAGAGAATCAATTAAGAGCTAAGTTGGTAGAAAATAAGAAATTTTTAAAGAGATGATGGCTCAATTTAAGTCCTTGACCAACGAATGCATTTTAAATACGTATACACCTATAATTGAAGATCAAGGAAGTGATGAGTCTGATGGTGATGATTAACAGTCTATGAATTTATTATGACTTTAATTTGGATTACTTATAAACTTGTTTATTTTAGATATATTTTCATGATCAGTTATATTTGTTGTTGCATTGGTGCTGTTACTAGTATTTGAAATTGTCCCTGTAATAGGAAAGGGGTTGACAAGAAACAAAATTTGACATTAATTTGATTTGCCAATTTCTCATGGAATTCTTTTGAAAGTTTACATGAGAACTATTTTCACTCGAAAGAAAAATACCTGAATCTACATTTCCATTTTTTCATTTCTCTCAAAATTTTTTGAGATAAAATAGTTCTCGCAGAACTTTTCGAGAGAAACTTACCAAACACTGACACAATCCGTTCGTTCATTTCTCTCAAATATGTTTGTGGGAAATTTTTTCACACAATTTTTTCTAGAGTCATTCTCTCAAATAGTTGCAAGAGAAAGTGTTTCTCTCATTATTATTTGGGAGAATAGCTCTCTTCGAGAGAACTGTCTCTTTATATTTTCAGAGAAGTTCTCTTACCTATTTTGGAAAATTAGATGTTTTTAAGAGAAGTTCTCTTGAAATAGTCCGAAAGGAATGTGTTCTCTCAAAATTGTTCAAGAGAATAAACTTGACTTGAAAATTTTTGAGATAACATAATTTTACCTACGAGATTTTACTCTCTTTTTTCTCAGGAAAGAATGAGAAAAATTCATCTCTTTTGAAAGAAGATGAAAATCAAATAATATATAACATATTGTTCATGATATGATATGATACAATTTTATAATTGCATTATATATTTAATTGTTGTTATTTAATATAATAATCAAATTTGAAAATTGGACTAAAATATTTGTAGGAATATAATTGAAGGCTTAAATTTAAAATTTGATACATTTTAAATTAATTTTATTAAAAAATAATATTTTTAAGTTTCTATGAATATAAAAAAATTATAATATATATAATATTTTTTTAATTATATTAATAATTGAAAATAACATCAAATGTATGTATATGTTTTGAGTTTTAACAATTTAATATTGCTTCATATATAAACACATACTTGTGTAATTAAATAATGTATAATTAATTTCTCATATAAAGATTTCAATGCTTTAAACTCCACTGACTGCTAATAATATCTGAAGCCATAAAATGTTGACATATGATATATATCCATATTCTAAGAAGGTAGCGATTTGCAATATCAAAGGGTGGGACTCTCCAAAATCTAAGCTTCAAGTTATTGATTAGATTATAACAGAAGATTTTAATACACAATAGTAAAATTTGAAACGATACAAATATGAAAAAAGTAATAATAAAACAGTGCAGCAATGGAATCATAATTTGAAATGACTTAAAGTAGCTAGAGTTGGTAACAAAACAGAGTTCTTGTCAAATAGTTGTGAGAATCATGGAAAGGTGATAAGAATTTCAAATACGCAGCTTTCCACCAGATTCTCTATTACCGGATTGGGGAATTTTGATGGAAACAGCTTTGAAAAGATCGGTGCAAAGGGGTAACAGGATGACGCCGGTGAAATAAATAGACGAGATGGTGAAAACATAGAGTGAAAAAACATCCTGCTTGAGGATGTCCTTGAGCAAAAAGAAGAATGCAGCAGAGAAAGAGACGGATATGGAAACGATGGACATGAAGAGGAAACTCAACCCCAAAAGAAGTTTGAAAGGCAAATCTTTGTGAAAATCTCGAGGTTGCTGGCGGGAAGTGAGGATGGAGAGGAACAAGATGAGAGAGGTGATGGAGCAGCAGAAAGCCAACAGTGAGGTGCTTGCAAACAGTTTGAAAGCTGGGTGGCGTTCTAGGTAAGGTTTGCCGGTCACCTGCTCAGTACCACCAGGGATGGTGATAGCCGTAGTGAAGGCCACACCGGCAATAAGTGCGGCCACGACGGAGCACGACTCCGACGTGCTCTTGAGCCATTCAACGCCTTCTTTGATTAAATCCTTGTGATCTGTTGCAAAAGTATCTGCTGGTGTTTGCTGATTCCTATTGCAGAGGAATTGCATTTTGTGCGGCACTTTTTTCTTCATATACTACAAAATGGAAGAAAACTTTCATCAATTTATACATGCATGACATAAATGATTGATTCAATTTGGTTGAGGAGGAGGAGGAAATAACACTAGAAAACAAGAAATTTAGGACAGATTTGTAATCGGCAAATTTTTTTGTCACAAATCATTTGTGATGAAACAGGTGAATTTTTGTCACAAAAAATTGTAAGAAACACTAGTAGGAAAAGTGCTTTTTAAACCAGTGAAGCCTTTCTAAACTGGTTAATTATCAAGACAACTGATTTAGAAAGTAATTAAAAATTTAATTTCTTAAGAAAAAATAAAAGCCTTTCTAAACTGTTTGTCAACAAAATCGGTTTAGAAAGTCAAAAAAATCAAAAAAATGTTTCCAAACCAGTTATACAATTATCTAGTCTAGAAAGCATTAAAAAAAGTTAAATGTTTTATTAAAGAAGATCATATTTTAGAACAGTTGTGTAAACAACCAGTCTAGAAATCTTTTTCTAAACCTGTTCTTCATGGAACCGGTTTAGAAAGTCTAATAACTCGCAATGTAGTTATGAAAATGCCACCCCCTTTATTTCCTAAACCATTGGCATAGGAACCAGTTTAGAAAGCTATTTTTTCGCTAGTGAAAAAAATTCTGTCATAAGAGCACTAATCCGTGTGTTTTTTAAGTAGAATGAGATATGTTACCCGAAACCATTCGACTTCCCACTGCTTGTGCATGGCAGCACCACTAATATGCATGGGCATGTAATGGGAGAGCCTGGCAGCCAAGTGGAGGATGGTGTTGCCTGCACTGTCTACGCCTCTGAGGAGTTTTTCTTGCAAGTTCTCCTTTATGTGCCTCATCAGGTACTCCAAAACATGGATTTGCCTGTTTACAACTGCCACATGCAATATATTTTGGCCTTTCGAGTTGGTTTTGTACATGACAATGGCCTCTGGTTTATCTTTCAGAATTTTCTTCACTATTTCCAGCACACCATTTTCCGCTGCAATAAACAATGCTGACTCCTGTCTCTCCCTTTCATTTTTTACCATCTCTTCTACCCCTGAAAATTAATCCAATGAATATCCATGGCTCTACCTACTTACATATACAGGGGGAACAGAACACTTCAGGCTCTCTTTCTTCATCTGCTAACTCTTATAATAAATATTTTACTAGAGAGTTCTTAAGTTTACCAATATGCAGAGTTTCTTCCCCAAAAAATCTATAGAGAAGGTGAGAATTTCCTTTATGTTGTGAATTGTGATTTTTAGCCATAATTAATGGTAGACTTGTAGTTTGTGTTGATCTGCAGTAAAAATTTGGTTGCCAACATCTGCACTTTGTTTGGCATCACCGGCAATTGAAAAGTGCATATCATCTAGTGGATCCAATTCAAAGGTGGGGGCGGATTCTATGTTCAGAAAATTCGCCCGAATTAGAGGGGAGAATGATGAATAAAGACCTTATAAAGGTAATAATGTCAAGCTAGAAATCTCTTTATAGCTAAAGTTCCCAAATTCAGTTTTTTTTTTCTCCTATGTTTCAATACTAAAATTTTTAAAAAATTTTAACTTGGCATTAATTTTTTTTATGAGGCCCTTGCTTGTCATTCTCCCAAATTTAACTGTTGCCAACTTGCCATCCATGATATTTAGTGATATTACACACACTGCTTTATTGTCTTGAGGCTATTTTCTTGAATGTAATAAATTCTGGTTAGAAAGAATAAGTTAGAGAGTTCTTAAAGTTGATCACTATAGAAAGTTTCTTGACGGCCCACAATATCTATGAAGATTAGAGAAGGTGATCAGAAATACCTTGATGTTGGTGAGATTTTTTTTTCCTGCCAATATTGTGATTTAGTTATAATTAAAGGCTTCCAAGTTTAAAAATTCAACCCCGATATAATTAATGGTAGAGTTACCTTTTCATTTGCGTTGATTCATAGTTTGCTTTCTTTTCAGCTGAATTTATCCAATATTAGAGAAAAATTAAAGTTATTACTCATATATCTTTCTCATTTCTGAACGTATTGAATATTAATAAGATTAAAAACAAATGACGACACAAATTACAGGTCTTACAAAATTATGCAATTTGTTAGAATTAGTAACATGGATTTGTCCCCAATTAGCCAAAATGTGGCAAGTTTGGTTGGCAAAATGGGAGGTTATTTAGAGACGGGTTTACCCACATCACTTAATTCCGTGTTTTCAGGGCCATGGTGCTTAGCACCAAAACACTCTTTTTTCTTTTGTTTTGTATCCAAACCACAAAATTATAATTATAATAATAAATAAATATTATTATTTTCATATTTAATAAATAAACATTAATCTATTAAAATTTGACCTAAACAGTTCAAATAAAATTTTTGCTCTGAACAGTTCAAAATAGTATTTAAAAAATTAAAAAAATGATATGAAAAGTTTAAAATAGAGGTTGAATCTAGCAAAATAAGCTAGTATCTTACAATAATATGCAAATCAATGTTTAAATTCTTGTTAAGAAAAGTATTTATATTTAATATCCAATCATGCCTTGAATGATATTACCTCTTAAGGATAAAATTGTGCAAAATCAATCAAATAAAAAAAAAAAATTTTTAGTTACAGTTATAATAAGAATATATTATGATTTGAGATATTTAACTTATATTTGAGCAATGTGTTTTTCTTGTTTTCTGTCATAATTTAAACTTGAATTCAAGAAATATACAAGTTCAAGTATTTAGACTATAATTTCATATATGATTGCTTTGAATTCTTTATTTTAAATTCAATGTTATTCATTTATTTTTTGTCTTTTTTTTTCAAAATATAAGGTGGCTAACCTATCAACCTACAAGGTAGCCCGCTGTAGATTTAAGTTATATAATGTGAGTCAAAACCATCTTGTGTCTAAATGAACCCATTCTCTTCAACCCAATTTGTCACTTTTTTTTGTGAGTTGAACCTATATTAACAGTTCTACCTACAATTTGACCACATTAAAGTGTTGCCATATGTACAATCAATGGTGATATCACACACACACACATGTAGACACACAAAAATTGATTATTTTGAGGCTACTTTCTTTTCTTGAATGAAATCATTGTTGGTTAGAAAGAATAAGTTTAGTTTTTGAGAATATACATCCTTCCCAAACTATATGTATTATGATGAGAGAACCAAACTCATTTAAAAAAGCAGATTAAGCATCCCACACCATATAATGTGTGACACGGTGACCCTGTATCTAATGCTATTTTAAGTCTCCATCACTTTGTCAGTCCCTGCATTTTAATGAAGAAAAGAAAGAATAACAAAAGATCAATACCTTCTTGGCCATCGGTTTGATGATGAGGTTCGGGTAATCTGATGTCTACTGGTTGGATCAACGAAGAAGGGGAGTCGGGTACGGTTCCAGCTCCAACGAACGCAACATCTTTATACCTCCAAATTTCATCAAGTATTTGATGGCACCAAACGTGCTTTTGTTTCTTCTTCCTCAATGTCCTTATTACCTCTAATCCTTAATTAATATATATATATATAAACAAGATAATTAAGCACAATTGCGTATGACAGAATTAAAAGCACCATCAATTATTTATTGGCACAGGCTAGATTTTTGTTAGAGGTAGAGAACAAGAGTGTACATACGTACATACCATGGGGTCCAAACAACACAAGTCCATAGAGCCAAACAAAAGGGGTGATTGCAGGCATGAAAATGTCACCAACAAAACAGGTGAATGCAGTCATGAAAATGCACATGTCACAACATGTCCAATAACTTTTTGGAACAACATTTTCATATTCATTGATGTGATCACTTGGGTTTTCTGCATCCACTATGCTTTCAGGAAGAGCTACGACAAAACATGAACTTTGTTTACTTTTCAGATCATAATTATAAAGCAAAATTAAGATAAACAAATAAAATAAAATTAAGATAAACAAATAAAATATTTTCTTTTCATAAACATGAACTTGCCAGTCTGCTGGGATTTTGACGGATGGTAGATGCTCCTCAACGGTTTCACGTATATGCCTTCCACATGAAAAAGGAAATTATATAAATATAAGCAATAATTACTCCCTCCATTCTTTTTTATAGGCCAAAAGAGACAAGAGTTGGATTTTACTATTTATAAAAGAATACAATTTACAAAAGTTAGGTAGTAATTAATATGATTTTTCAAAAATACCCTTATAAAAATAATGGCCTTAGTTGATAATTAAGAGTGTGTGAGAAAAATTCAACTAAGGGCATTTTCGGGAGCGAGGGAGTATAATTAAGTGATGCATACATGCATACTAATGATGAAGAGGTCAATCATATTTGTTATATTCTTTTGGTCTTATTTATAGGATAGAGATAGAAAATTAGTTTTAATCCTATTTACAGGGCACTTAATTATTTTCTATACTCATTGTGTATTTATGCCCTTATTAAATGATAGGAAAAATATTGAAAATAATTTTTTTGTGTTTATTAAAAAAAAAGATAAAAACTTATTAAATTTTAAGACACAATTAATAAAATTTTAAGATTTTTTTAATTTTAATAAAATAGTGACTTATAAATTAAAATCAAATGGAGTACTTACACTTGTATGCGAACTTGGCATACCATCTAAAATTGCTGATGCTGCTTTCGAAAGCAGAAGGTTTTGCGGCTAGGATATGGAGAGGGGTAATTCCCTTTTCATCGATAGAACCCACAGTTTCCCATTGGTACAGTTTAATGATTTCAAATGCCAACTCTGTGAATATGTATACGTGAGCATGAATCCATTAAAGGCATAAATAAATAAATCATTAATTAGTTGTAAATTTATAACGAGTCTGCTTCCTCCTACAATAATTACGAGTCAAATTTAGAAATTTACAATTTATTGCATCAACTTTTCAGAATAGTATTTAAATTAAAAAGTATTAATCCACAAGTAAATGAAACTTTCGTATATAAAACACACATAATCCAAAATAGAGTTATTAAAGTACAACGAAGACAAACTGCTTTATTTTTCTTTGTTTTTTCACTCAAATTAGTGTCATTTCAAGCTTAGCAAAGGGAACAAACATATATATATATATATATATATATATAAAAGGATAATAAAGCATTTAGTCCTTCAAATTTTTCTCAATTATCGATTTGATTCTTTATATTTTCTTAAATTATCATGTGAGTTATTTAAGTTTTTAAAATAATCTAATGTGTAAATTATAATCCCTCCGTTTAAAAATATAAGGCATTTTTAATTAAATTTCATCCCTAATAAAGTAGTCATATACTTTCAAACTAATCCTATCTTTCCATGTTTACTCCTATTAAACACCTTACATAAATATAAAGTCATTTATTAATAGGGGCACTTTAAAAAAAAAAAACAATGATTACATGTGAAAGACTAAAAACACCTTACATTTTTAAACATCTAATCCTCAAAAAACGTCTTATATTTTTAACAGAGGGAGTATTAATTACATGGCATGTATATGTAGCTAAATGATAACAAATGAACCCTCAAATTAGTTTATTTTTTATCAATATAATCTCTTGCACAATGTTTTCTTCTGTTGTTTTCTAAAATTTCAGAGTTTTTTTATTTAAATAATTATACTTTTTTTATTAATTTACATGATTGTCATCAATATTTTATTATCCACATTAGCAAATTTTAATAATGTAACCTCCTTTTCAAACAATAGGAACCAAATCAATAATCAAAATAAATTTAAAAGATTGAATTGATAAAAATTAAACGTTAAAAATCAAATCAATATCTAAGTCAAATTTGAGAATTAAAAATTGCATTGTTAAAAAAAAACAAAAAAAGAATTCAATCCAATCGACCAATATCCATATAAGTGAGTCACCGATTCACTAGTATAACCAGAGGCAATTCTAGGTTAGATGCTAAGGAACCTATAAGTAATTAATTTACTTACCGTAGTAGTCTTCCCTAATAGAGCAATGAAGGGCTGTCTGTCCATCGCTTGCTCTTCTGCATAGCCAAAGAGACTCGCCGGCGCAACGATTTTCGAGGTAAAAGAAAACATCCATATGTCCATTGAGAGCAGCCAAGAAGAGAGGAGTCTCTCCTTTTTTGTTGCGTTCTTCAATCAACACATGTCCTTGACGAGGATCAGCTTCAATGATGCACTCACACATCTCGAGCGACCCTATTGATGCTGCTCGATGCAACGCTGTGTCCCCTTTACCATTTTTTGCTTTCAAACTCTCCAACGCCATCGGGTTCTGCTTAATTTCACCCACCAGCTGCTCAACGGCGTCTGCCCTGTTGTCGTTCGCCGCCACGTGCAACGCCGTGTCTTCATCGCTGTTGACGGGCATCGTGTGAATCTCTGCATCGTTTCTGTATGCCGCGGCCACTTCATACCATTTACCCTGTAGTGTGAAATGGTATATATCATGCGCCGTCGAAAGATTCTGAATATACATAAATGATGAATCCATGTATTCCATTTTGCAGCAATGCGACAATTACTAACAAAACTCTCGTGGTCGTGTGGTAGTCACCTTGGTGCGTGGTAGCCTTTTATACATGATTAGCAACCACACTCATGTCCCATGTGTCTGAAAAAGCAGAGCAGGAATCTCTGCAAAACATTTACAATAAGGAAAATGACATTAAGTCTCAATAAGATCATTTTATTCAAGTAAAGTCCTGATAAATTTAGGAAAGAAAGTTGTAAAATATGAAAATATCAAAATTTGGAGACAAATTTGTAATGGTGTTGTCTTGAATTTGCACCTCACTTCTTGATTTTAACAAGGAACATGGATCTTAATGATTAAATTTGAAAAGTAACATATCATTATTGTTTAATAACTTCCATGAACTTGCAACGTAATTTGTCTCATTAAATTTACAGCTAATTTTCTCAATTTTAAAACTAGAAACATATTGCATTATATAAAAATACTAGTTAAGAATCTAGGGGATTTATTTTACGTTGTTGAAGTTGGAACTTTAAAATGATTTTTTTTCGAACTTAAATGCCATTCTCCCAACCTTTCCTTGTATGGAAGGCAAGGTATTATTACCTTTTGCTTTTTAATTAATTCCAATTTTTTTTTTTCGAACACGTTGTTTACCACTTCAAATGTGACAAGCATCCCAAAAAATTCGATGATTTTGTTCTCAACTTTGTCGTCTGTTTTAAGTCAGTCGATATATAATTGCTTATATATAATCAATCATATGTACCTTGGACATATTCTGAATTTCTAAGGAATAGCTGCTAGCAACACTCAGAGGGACGCAGCCTAGAAAATTTATTTGATTTCGAGGTAAAATTCATGACATACATTAATATACTACTTCATTTTTAAATATAAAAAAATAACTAACCAGTTTAAAAAATTAGGTAAATATAACAATTATGTTTGGAATTAAAAAATTTGGATTAAATTATCCTAAAATTAATGAAACAAATTTGTCTCATAAAAATAAACATTAATTTGAAAAAAATATGTTACAATATTTTTGGATAAAGATGCATTTTTGTCTTTAAAATATTTTTTGAGGAACAACCAGCATTTTACATTTTGTCGCTAAAGTATTTTTGAGGAACAACTTTGTTAGAAATAATTTTTCCCTTAACGTTATCAAAACGGAATATTTGTTTTCCTTTATGTCAGATTTTTTAACGGTCAATGTTTGAGCAAAAAAGCTCCATTTTGATTGCGTTAAGGGCAAAATTTGCTTCAACAAAAATATTAGGATACTAGATGCTCCTTAAAAAATACTTTAGAGATAAAAATACACCTTTACCCAATATTTTTTAAAATTTATAGTTTTACTTATGAAGAAATAAAGAAACATATGACAATTTCTTTTTTAATAAAAAAATAAAAAATGTTTTATATTTTTTGAACTATATTTTATAATGCATAGAAAGTGACTTGAATGGACGTACGTGCCACTGACACTCTTTTAAAGATGTGTTGTGGGATTCTTCTTAGGATTCAACAAGTTTTTCTTTAAATTGTAGATCTATGAGTCTAAAATTCTAAACTTATTTTGATATAACGTTTCTTTTCAACTTTTGAAAATAATGCAATGTTGACCTTATAATTAAAAATTATTAACTTTAATAATTAGTTAACTAAAAAATTACAAAATCCAAAAATGACATTAAAAAACAAGGCTTGGTTCTTTTATATAATTATGTAATCTTTTTGGGTCATTGTCTAAAATTTTGGATTATTTCCTGTAATTTTTATATCTTTTTTTATAATTTATTATTAATAGGAAAAGTTAAATTTTATTAATAATAAGGGTAACATTGTATATCTTTTAAAATTTGAGAAGAATAATACAATAAATGTAGAGTCCCAGGAATAGACTTATAGTTTAACGTTAAAATTGTACATTAACTCTTTTTCTTGATAAATGCTTTTCCTCATTTTAATTTTTAAAAGTGTTTGTAGTTAATTAATTGACAATCTTGAAAATCACAAAATATAAATTGTGACTCGAGTGAGAGCTTTGAGCTTTTTGTTTTATGCCAGGCGAAATCAACCCCTTTATTTACCCATGTTCACGTATGCTTTTTTACTTAGTGGATCTTGATTATTAACCTGATGAGTCTCATCTTCTCAAAAGTAAATACACCCCCCTCTCTCTCTCTCTCTCTCTCTCTCTCTAACATGATATATATGTATATACATAATACTTCCTCAGTCCCAATTTATTATGAAACATTTTTGAAAAGATTGATGTTTTAAATTATAAGATATTTTTATAAAAATAAGATTTCACTAATAATCATACTTTTTTGATAGTATATTTTCCATTATATTCTCTCTTTAATATTCTTTCACAAATAAAATATTAAATTTAAGGTGTTTTTAGAAATTTATATTTTATTATTTTGGAAAAATAATATTATAAAATATATTTAATAAGCTTTATTAATTGGTATGCATAATTTTGAATAAAAATATCTTATAAAATAGGATGGTGGTATATATACGTATGAAGAAAAATAGATAGATAGTTAAGATTCTTATTTTTTAACATTGTCATTTTTAAATGCAGGGAAAATGATATATATATATATATATGTATATATATATATATATATATATATATATAATAATGAAGCATAATAATAGGAGGCATGTGTATGACTTTCATATCAACGATTTAAAAATCAAACCAGCAAAGGTAGCGGTTTATGATTTCAGATGAGGGACATTTTTTCCTATAAGGCACATTCATCAAGAAAAACATTTAGATCTCGAATTCTTTTTCAACTTTCCCTTTATTTAACACTATTGATCATCAAGTATTTGCTAGGACTTAAAAAAAAATACAAAGGTATTGATTGCTTTTTAAATTCTAAGATGTTTCTTCTATTTTGAAATAGAGGACTTTAAAAAAATCCTTATATTTGAAACAAATGTAGTATTAATTATCCTTACAATTACGTAAAATATCTTATCTATTAAAATATATTACTTTCCAAAAAAATAAATCTTACATTTAAAACGAATATTATGCTCAATCTTAGTATTCCATATCATATTATGTCCTTTGCCTCATGCTTTTTCAGACATTTAATCGCGCAAATCAGCTTATGTTTCCTATATTAAATTTTTTTATATTAAGTATGCTTACGGATAATATATTCCATCAAAATAGTTTAAATCATTTGATTAAATATCTTCTATAAGCTTATATATATATATGATCTATCTTCTAATCTTTAGATGTGAGAATTCTTTTATATTTCAATATCTTACATGTTGGAACAAGAATAATTATTCAAAGTAATTATCATTATCAAATAAATATAATGGGCGTTTCAATGACTCTATTTTACCTCTCACTTGGCTTGGGATTCTTTATAATCTCCGTATCTCTCTCTCCATTTCAAAGAAGAAAAAAATTATCTATCCATTTTACCTCGCAATAAATCAAGAACATTAAGTTTTGTCCAAAACAAAACAATATGTGCATTCGTATATAACAAAAAAAGAACGAATATGCTAGACCAATTACTAGATTAAATTAGCTTATTTAGAGAAGAAAAAAATAAATAGCTGGGTGGGACCGGACAGAGTTAACTCGAATAAATATATTAAATTTTAATAGTAAATAAAATGTAACAAATGCTAAAAAGATTCATATGCAGCCTATACAATTTAAAGTTTAACAATAAATAAAAAAGTAACAAAAGCTAAAAAGCCATAAATTCATATCAAGCCTTCACACTTTAGGAATCTTGAAAGTTACAAAATTGGATAGAATTATTTGTCCTGCAAAAAGCAACGCTCATATCATTTATTCCCATGGGTTGCACGAATTAATACAGACAGATATATTTTATTTTCTTTTTAGCCGAAGACTACAGAGAGAAACAAACCTACTTGAATCCACACAAGTATTATATCAGTTTAATTTTCTGGCAAATTAAACAAATTTTTTTATAATCGATTTTTGATTTAATTTATTAATTATATTTTTATTAATACAATTATTAGAATTAATTTTTACATTTCCCAAGAAATACAAGAAATTAATTAAGAAACTATTTTGAAAGTAAATAGAAGTTTAATGATAATATTTATCTAATTCAAATTATGCTAACATGTATAAAATCTCTTTGAACTTTAAGACAGTTACATATGATCTCTATCACCTTTTAGCATTTAAAATTAACTCCCCTAATTTTTAATTTAATTTTTCAAAACTCATTACCATTAATTATTTGTTATTTTATTAATATAGTGATTACCATGTCATATTAATACAATAAACTTGCCACATGATATGAAAAAAATATTTTTTATTATTTTTTAACACAAATTAAGGAGGGGTAAAATTGTAACTTTTTACTTTTAACACACATGATGATGCTCTTATTTTTTTTTTAGTTGAGTGACATTATCCTCATTATTCACAAGTAATACAATTTAAGAAATTTTTTTAATTTTATTGTTCTTTATCAATTAAAACAGCCTTTAATATTAAACAAATGAATTGCATTTGAAGATGAGTCCTTAGCATGCATATATTTGTAGGTGAGTGTTCTCTACTTTTCAGTATATGTTTTCTTTCTGGTAATTAAACAGCAGTGAGACTGAGTGCATATTGGTGCAAAAAGGGATGTTTTATCAAGAACAGAATTCTTAATAAAGCAGCATGAATCCTAAGTTTATATATAACACTCAGAGGCAGAGATTGATAAAGAATAATAAAATTATAATTTTTCTCTTAAATCTCTCTCTCTCTCTCTCTCTCTCTCTCTCTCTCTCTCTCTCTCTCTCTCTCAAATACACCACAATTTTACATATATAATACTTCCTCCATCCTAATTTATAAGACACTTTTGAGAGAAATTTGATGTCTCAAAATATAAGATACTTTGGTGATATTTTTTCAATATTACTCTTCCCATTATATTATCTCTTTTTGATATTCTTCCAAAAATACAATATTAAATAAAGATTACCTAATTTGTTTGGTGAGAATATGTAATATTCTTTTAACAATATTGATCATTAAGCACTTGTTAGGTAAGATTACGTAATTTGATATACTCACCTTTTAAATACAAAGGTATTAACTGCTCTTTAAATTCTATGAAATTTCTTCTATTTTGAAATATACGATTTTAAAAAAGCCTTATATGTGAAACAAACGTGATATTAATTAATTATCCTTAAAAATTACGTAAAATGTCTAATATATTAAAAATATATTACTTTCCCAGGAAATAAATCTCACGTTTAAAACGCATGGAATATATATTATGTTCCTTGGGAGAGATAAAGTAAAAAGGACTTCATCAAAATAAGAGATAAAGCAAAAGATATATAACTCATGAACAATATCATTCTCTAATTCATATCATATGATGTCCTTTACCTCATACTCGTTTTCAGATATTTAATGGCGCAAACCAACTCATGCTTCCTATCAATATTTTTTGACCAGTCTCAATTTAGCAATCTTGAAAGTTACATGATTGGATAGAATTATTTGTCCTGGAAGAAGCAACGACACTCATATCATATATTCCCATGTGTTCCACGAATTAATACAGACAATTATGTTTTATTTTCTTTGAGGCCAAAGACTACAGATAGAAACAAACTTACTTGAATCCATCGGTTTAATTTACAGGCAAACAAATTTGTTGATAATCGATTTTTATTTATTTAATTAGTTACATTGTTATTAATACAATGATTACAATTAATTTTTACGTTTCCCAAGAATAATTTTCAAAATATTGCAAGAAATTAATTAATAGACTATTTTGAAAGTAAATAGACACGGTTCAACTATAATATTTATACATTTTGAATTAAAATAATCAAATAGTAGAGGATGTTTGTTAAGAGTCATCAACATGTGATAGGGAAAGGATATACATGAATAAAAAAAATTTTGAATGTTTACAAAATTGGATTGAGAAATTAAACAATATATCTTACATAAACACACGTCATAGAATTGGCATATTACATAAAGCTATATGTATGTATGTAGTATTATTTTTCTCTTGTTCGCAAATGTCAGTTCACCAATGCTCGATGTAAGATTTCAATTCAACCGTACAAGAAAGAAGTAAACAGTCATACATATTAGAGTGCTGAATTGGAAATGAACTCTAATTATGATCAATTTTTACATAGGAAGTGACTTTTTTTGGACACTAAACTTCAATTTTTTTTTTGTAGTAATTGGTGGATAGTCACTAATATATGTAATTATTTTAGTAATGCTATTTGAGCGGTGAAACCTTTCTTATCTCCATTCACTAAAAAAAAAAAAAGGATATGAAGATAGTTGAGGAATTAATGTGAGGGATCCTTTGCATGTTTAGTTTTACACACCAACACACACACACACCCACGTGTATACTAATATAATTTACTGTTTGAATTTAGGTTGAAAAAATATATTGTCCTTAATATAAGGCGCATGGAGAGTTATTCATTATTATTTTTCATTTTGCTGCTTTTGTAAATTGAATTCCATAACTTACCATATATGTGTATCTCTTAAGACATTTAATGAGTTAGGCCAAAGGAATAACAAGTTAAAGATGCATGGATGATGCATACATGCAGTTGAATGAGCACAAGTACAAGTTTTAGAGAGAAAAAAGGAAAGGGAAGAGCAGAAAAGATTGAAAGCCCGTTTGCTTATTGAAAATGAATGAAATGAAATGGATTAGAAAAATAAACATAAAAAACATTGCTTTAATTTTTTTTTTCATATTTATCATGAAGAATTGAAATAATTTAATTTATTTTTTTTCTTATTTTTTAAATCTATTTCATACCAGCAAGTGACAACGGACCCTGAAGCTCATAAAAAAGCCATTTTGAACTTACACATGCATGTCTTCCGCGTTGCATTGCATCCCACATGTGAGAACCATATAAAACAAGAGTGAAGAGAAATAGTCAAAAAGGCCAATAAAGAAGATATATAGGCAAGAATCAAGCCAAATCAAGCCACGCCCAGGCAGGGACAAACTTTCCTTTTTCATTCAAAATCTCCAAAGGGAAATCTATTCATTTTCATGACCATTCAATTTACTATCGGTTTCTTATTTTATCAATATATGGCCGAAAAATATCCGGCTTCTTTTGTTTGGATCAACGTGTTTCTTCATCCTTACACCAATTAAAGGCTTTATGTTTGATCTCATCAGCAGAGAGGGAGGGAGGGACGTTTCATGAATGCGATATTAACTTTGTACCCTCTTATCTTATTTATATGACAGAGGAAAAGGAATTTTTTGATCCTATATTTATAGACATGTTATTAACTTTTTATCACAAGGTCCTGTTTTACTTTTATCTAGTGTTGGTAAGAGAAAATATATTATTAAAATATATATACATATTTAATAGGGATAGTTGAAAATTTATCAAATTTTTAAAGAGAATTAATAAATTTTAAGATTTTTCTTAATTTTGATAAACTATATTTGGAGTAACTTGTAAATAGGACAAACAAGAGGGTGTAATTATTATTTTGTTGGAAATTTTATTCAATTTGGATGATATATTTAAGATATATATTATTAACTTATATTAAGTTTTAATATATTTTTTATTTTAAAATTAATTCTTTAATGTTAGACTAAAGAATTATTTAAATGAAAAATGTCTTAAAAAGTTATTAGGCATATAAGTTATGGTTCCCAAACCTAATCGCAACTGTTCAAATAAGATTTGGCCAAGAAATAAAAAACTATTCAAATAAGATGTTAGATGTATATAAGAGTGATCAAAATCATCTGCATTAATCCGCTCTCTGAATTTTTGTCAATTTCTAATAATTTCAGCTGTCCAAAATATCAATCTTCTCAAGCTAGCCACGAAATCAATGAATCTCAGTGTTTGATCAAATGAGAGTAGCTTTAAACTTTTAATATCGTCAGTTTGGCATCAAATAATTCCAAATCCATCTTCGATTTTTTTTGGTTGCATGCCAGCTCCATTTGGTTGGTTGTATCTTCACACAGTTTATTAATGTGGCTAAATTGGGAGCGTAGATTTAATGAATGGTTGAAATGATTTGAAATTTACAAAAATTTAGAGATTAGATGTAATGAACCCAAATGAAGATCCAAGTGGGAGCCCAACTATCACAACAGATAACCCAATTCTACAGCCCACATTGGAAGCTAGAAGAAGGAGCCAACACACAAGGAAGAAACGTGGAAATTGCGCGAGTTGGATGAAGTGGAGGCTATATAATGACAAATACGGTTATGTGGGGGGTGTAAAATGATTAGAATATCTCTATCTCTGTGCCAAACCTTCTCTACGTTTCTGCTTCTGCTATACTTTTCTACATGCCTTTGCTGTCATTTTCTCATTATTCCTACTGTAGTGCCTTTATCAATTTTGGAATTGTAATACGCTTGTGAACGTTGGTTTTGTCAGTTTTACTCCATTAATATTATAATATATCCTGAGCATTACAGATTTGGTCCTTTCATTGAGAGATAATGGCGGAAAATACCAGACTAAAAGAGCTTCAAGCTGAAGTGAGAAAGAACAACGAATTTGCTGAGCATGCTGTAGGTATATTCAACCGACTCGAAGAACTCATGGATGAGCTAATGAAGTCGACAGATAATCTGAATTGGAGGTTTGAACAACCTAGCCCTGAAGGATCTAGAGGTTCACCTTCGAAGACTACGAGTTACTCGCCGATGGGGTACTATGGGGACAAAACAGACAGGTGAAGATAGACTTTTTATTTTAGGATAATTCATAAAGGAGAGAGTCATTTCAATTGTTTGTTTAGTTCAATTGAGTTGTAATTATTAGATTACTTTTTATTTCGTGTTGGAATTCTTAGAATAGTTATGCTATTAGAGTTGCAATATAATTATGAGAATAACATTGGATATGATTTCAACTTTTTTACTTGTTTAAAGGATTTTGTTATTGTTGAATTATATTTTGAATTGAATAATAGGCTGGCTGTTTGTATGTTGTTGTTCATTTCGGATGATGCTATGAAGAAGTAACCAGTAACATAGGGAGTTAAGGAGAAATAAACACCATTTAAAAAAAAAACCTTTTTTTTTTAAATTAGTTGTGACAATAACCAGTTTAGAAAGTAAAGACTTTCTGAATCAATTGTAACTAATACCAATTTTAAAAATCTTTTTCATTGCTTATTTTTGGGGTACTTACAACCGATTTGAAAAGTTATTTTTTAAACCTCTTTGTACAGTCAATTTAGAAAGTTTTTGACTTTCATCATTCATGAACTAGTTTAAAAAGCTTTTCTAACTAGTTTAAAATATATATTTTTTATACTAGTGAAAGATAAATGAAAGCATTTTGACCCAAAGAAAAAGGTTACGATTAGATGATTAAGCTAATATGTCTCTGTTTTTTTAAATTCAGTTCAATCAAGAATGATCCTCCTATACTTCGTCAATCTATTTCTTTGATTTATTTTTATGCCGTATCATTATTATAGCTTTTGGTTAATTAAAGTTTTTCTTTTATCATAACCAATAAACTTAAATTTTAAAAAGAAACTGTTTGTTCAACCACGAACAGAAACTATATGTGATATATATATATATATATATATATAGTTATGCCGCATCACATGTATATTCCTCGACTTGGTCATCATTTCCCCTTTTGATAAAGAAACAATTACTTTTTTTATTGTTAAAAGGTATTCTCATATTGAGGATAATCTTGTTTGATATATGATCAGATATTAAATTTAGACACTATATAGCACAACTTTCAGATAGTATACATTATTAAAACACTTAATTAAAGTTTGGAGGAACTAGATGAAGAATGAAAACACACAGATCCGAAAGTACACCCCCGATCCAAAAGAAACTTGAAACGACATATGATGTTGTTGAACTCTTAAAGGCATTGGAAGTCGCTGTCTTTGTCGATTCCACAGTTGTTGAGAATCAAACTGAAAGCAATTGGAATGTTGAGATTGATGCCAAGAACATTAGCTTTGAGGGCAGTGCAAAGGCAAGAAGAAACTTCAAGATCAACCAAACCATTAATGAGGCTGCAACATGGAAGTGTTAGTGATGATGGTGATCCAATGTTAATATTCACCAGATTCAACACATCGACACATATACCTAACTTGAGGACATCTGTAGGACAGCTATTAGCCTCAATGGATGGCACTACAGGCACAAAGGAGGAGCTCACCATTGTGAAGAAAAGAAGATTGAGAGAGAGGATAATAAAGGCAAGAAATTTTGGAGCCATTTTTCTCAAAAAAAAAAAAAAAAGAAGTTTTGATTTCCTTCAATGCTTTCGTGAATTGGGTGTGTTTTGGTTTGTGTGTGTGTATGAAGTTGGAGAGCGATAAGGTATTTATAGGTAAGGATTATGGCATTTTTGGACTTGAGTATTTGAAATTACTTGTAATTTCTTTAACCACTCTCTCATGCAAAAAACACTCGGTGGCTTACATAATAAAAGGAATGGTTCAAATTTAATTATTTTACTGACAAATTTAATTGCTTTATAATTAATTACCATCTAAAAATACATAAATTTAATTGTATACCATTATTAATGTTTTATATTAAATTGTTTATTTATTTATTTTGTTGCGGCTATAAATTATGCAAGTTAAAGTTTTATTAATAGCTTAAAATTATTTGTTTATTTTATCCATGGACGCTTAATTCAACTAATCAAGAAAGTTGAGTACTTTATGTTTTGGTCTTGAATTTGAATACTGAAATATGCAATCGTATTAAATAAATACTTTAAAGGCATTCCTGAAATACTTGTAAGGCTATAGGGAGGGGCTGCATAGAGTATCCACTTCCTTGAAAAATACTTATTATTTCAAAGAAGAAATTTATAATAATTGTGATAAAAGGTTGGTCAAAAATAGAAAAATAGACTTGACAATGACCACGTGAAAGAAGTATTATAATTAAAAAAATGTAATTAATATGGTGCGTAAAGATTTAAAATAACTATAACATATAAAATTAATATTAAAATTTATTGCTCTTAAATTATGAATGGTATGGTGAGGACCCCATCTTACTATAAAGGAGAAAGTAAACGGAAAAAAAAAAGCTAAAACTTATTAATTTGAATACAATGAATGCATATGCCAGTGATTGTGTAGAGCATATTGTGTGTGTGCATGTGTGTCTATCTATATATATAAAAGGTAATGAAGACATAAAATAGCTCAAATGATAATTATGAAAACTGATATACGTTTATCAGATTTCTGGCACTTATCAGGTAGCACGCCACACCATTCCCAAATTTTGAACAATGCATTTTTACTATACATTAATACACACACACATCAAGATCTTTGTTACATAACTTAAATAGATATTTCTCGCATTGATCCCTTTGAATAATTAATTAGGAGAATCATGTGAATTACTCTTCAAATCAAATGACTCAATTAGGCACAAAACATGAGGTTTCTTTATGAAGAATATTTTAGAGACAATGAGGGACCTATTCATATGACTGTAGGGGAAATTTCCCCACTAATAACATGCATTTCATTGCGTTTGTGTGTGTGTTAATATATGTAAGATCAATGTTTTAAGAATTGAACTAACCCAAACAGTCGAACCATTAAATTGCCACCCCCCTACAAGAGTTTTATTGGTACAACTCATTAACTTATTTTGGGAGTTGGATCATTTTGAACTGCTTGGAATCGAACGGTTTTGATAGAATTAGAGTTAACTTGGAAACCCGAATGAGTGGACCACTTCAAACTATTTTTTCTTTTCTACTTTTAATTTAATAATAATTTTTTATTCAATTTAAAAACATTTATGTCAACTTTCTTCCGAGTTATTATTGTAAAATTTTGACTGCATGATTTGTCTATTAACATTGTACGAATTAAAATGTAAACAAAATTAAAAAATTATGTATTTTAAAAGACAAACAAGGTAAATAAAAAACTATGCAGATGAAAAAAAAAGTATAACTTCTTATGTTATGGGGAACAACTTTTAATTATCACATATTTTTAATATTTCATTTATATATACGTGTGTGTGCACGCGCACGTGCACGAGAGCACGAGCACATATAAATATTATTTTTTATTTAATTATTATATTATTGGTTGGACTGTCGATCCAATCAATTAATCTATGAGAATTGTAACTTATTAACTTTTTTTATTTGTCATCTAGTGATTGTATAACATATATATTAATTGATGCTCAATCATGTATTGAGAACAGAATTGCCTCCAAATTACAAGTAATAAAAAAATTACTAACTGCCTTTTTTATGATATTTCTACCCCAACCTAATTTTATTATCAAATACATATACATGGTTAATATAAACTGCAACATAGCCCGACACAGCCTAATACATAATGCCAACAGGACCACCCCAAAAACTGAAAATTTCGTTTGGCGTAATGAAAGGGGTGTCCGTTTCCAAAAATGCTCTTTGATCGATTTCGATCGCACCCTCTCACACCTAAAAGGATTTAGTTGAAGGGATATTTGGGTGATCAAACATACGTCAGAAATGACTAGAAAATGCTTCTTGCAATGTACAGGATTAAGAAAAAATTCACCTGTTTTTCCCTTGTTTGTTTGTCTTCGGGCAATATGTGAATATGTATCTTTATGAGAAGTTTTTGCTTTATAGAATGTGACTCTCATTCTTATCAACTAATAAAAAAAGAATGTGACTCCCATTAGGGGTAGAACTAACTTTGGAATCTAGAAGGTCAAATGTTTAACGAAAAAATAACATAACATTTAAGTATTTAACTAATAATATTTTAATTACATGATATATCAAAGTTTAACATTTCTTTTGAATAAAAAAAAGCTTAATTCTTCCTTCTTTGATGTCATTAAAATAATTTATACAAGTGATTCTATATCAAACTCTTTAACAACATATTCTGTTTTCAATATACACATAAATAGAATAGGCTATTTCTCAAACATAACGAACTAAGATTCAAACCTTTTTTGGGATATGTCTATATTTAGTATCCAATCATACCTTGAATATAATTGTTTTCAATAAGAGAATGAACACGTATGCACAAAAAATAAAAAAAAGATATCTACCATTCATCTTGTTACGATGCATCCATATTTGGAAAAAGCCTTGGAAACAAATCAACAAAACAAAAAAACTTTTTGCCACATTTAAGTTAGGTTGGGTTAAATTTTATCTGACATGAACATGGCTATTTCGCCTGTGAAAGCTAGGCAAAGCAAAGTCACAGTAACAAGAGTAAGTCTTGTCTCATTAGAAAGAGTTGGTTAAATAAATTATATGACGTCATTGTGTTATATCATCAACTAAGCTTTTAGGAATATTATTAAATAAGAAGTCTATAAATATTTTATAAATGTTCTCTTTGTTATTCCAAACAATAATTAAACATAATGTTTGAGTAGATTGCCATGAATTTATATCATAATAATAAGTTCCTAAATCTATTGAGGTCAGAGTCAACTTCTTTAATGATACACAAATGATAGAAAAGACAATGGGATTTATATGAAAGGAGACTGGTTATCTAATTTGCACAATTAATAATTGCATGAAGTACAACTCTTGATATAAAACTAATTTGAAATAAACCAATAGAGCTTAGAAAATGTAAAGTTGAAAGTAAGATCAAACATTCATTAATTGTGTTTATATATTTTTGCGCAACACAGTCTCGAGACCCAAAAAAAAAAACATAAATGTAGTTTCTCCCGTTGCTAAAATATGGACAAACTTTTACTTTCACGAAAGCCTTATGATTTATGAATTTTTAAGCCAAAGACTTTGGTCACATGTAAATAGAAAACGCTTTCTTAAAAAATATTACATTTTTTTAAAAGAACATTATTTTAATAATAACTCATTTTTAATATATTTTTACTTTTGTACATATTTAAAAATTAAACACCTTATTTTGTTTCTGAACTTATCACCTGTGAAAAAGTTAAACGATAAATTAAAAATTATATAAATACAAAATATATTAATAAGATATTATAAAAATTCAATTAAATTTCGGTTGATCTGAGCCATTCATTTCATGTTGAAATAACAATCTCTGACATTCATTTTAATTTTTTTTTTATGTATTTTACATATTGTATTTATGAAAATAAAAATTATAAACAGTTTAAATATTAAATCTAGACTGTCTCCGATGCTCATCAAGGGATGAGCACTATGATACTCAGACTCCTTGATGAGATATAAAATGTCCAAATTTTGAGCTATGAATCTTTAATTCACTTGATTCTAAAGCCCAAGTGATTAGATTCAATTCAATGACCTTTTCTTTTGTTATTTTCACATGTCTTCCTATTAGAGTCAATCATATTTAAGACACTATTAGGTAGAGCCAAGAATAAGAAGGGTTGGGCCTCATGAGCCTCCAGTTTAAGCCAATTTTATAAGGGTTGGGAGTTTGGAAAATTTTGTCAAGAAATCATCATGTTTAATTTCGATTGAGGATCCAGTTTTGAATATTGTTATGATTATAATAATCAGAGTCAAAATATAATGACAAGTCCATGTAACTTTTTAATGTTCTTATGATTATAATAATCAAATGACGTCTACAATATGCAATCTTATATTTCATTCCCCAACAATTTCCAAAAAAAAGATGGAAAAATAGTAATCAAGGATCTTTATATGAAATTTATATTAGTCAAAGATAAATTATTGTCAAAACCTGAATGAAAAACAAGCATTAATAGATTGTTCTTAATTTAAAATTAGTTGTTGTGAAAATTTAAATGAATACTTGTTGATAAAAGACTAACTCAGATCAATAAGTGTCTATTCAGGTTTTGATAATAACTAATCTTTGACTAATATAAATTTTATATAGGAGTTCTTAATTGTTATTTTCCCAAAAAAGATTTAGTACTGTAACAATTTATGAGGAAAAACAATGAATCAATTCTTAAAAGAAGCCTTCGAATATTACAAATTTCATTCAACACCCGGAGATAGACAAATATTAATAAAGAAGCCTAGAAGTAAAGATCAGTGGTCTTCCCTCTCTCCTTTCACAACAAACAATTAAGAAACTTTATTAACCAATATATTCATTGGCAAGCACCAATGACAAACGTAATCCAAAAACACGATGAACGTACAGAAAATGAAAACCTTTGAATGAATATTAATAGACAGACAGACAAAACAAACTAGAAACAGATCATATTGCAGATTTGTTTCTAGGCACATTGAAAGCCAGAGTTGTTCTTGCCACAATTGTTGAGGATGACGCTTAAGGCGACCGGAATGTTGAGTCTGGTACCCAAGACGTTCCCTTTGATGGCGGTGCAAAGGCAAGTAGCGACTTCAAGATCAGCCAAACCCTTAATGAGGTTGCAACATGGAAGTGTTGGTGGTGATCCGACCTTAACATTCACCAAATTCAACACTTTGGCACAAACACCTAACTTAAGGGCATCAATGGGACAGTTAGCCCCTGTGGAGGGCACTGTTGGAACATAGGAGGAGCTCACCATTGTGAAGAAAAGAAGATTGAAAGAGAGGAGAACAAAGGCAAGAGATTTTGGAGCCATTTTTATTTCACAGAGATGCAAGAGGGTTAATTTTAGTACTTGATGCTTTGTGAATTAAATATGGCTGTGTTTTGATGCGTATTGGAGATTAGTAGAGAGGTATTTATAGGTGATGAGGACAGTGGAGTTTTGAATTTTTTAAATAGTTTTGTTCAAGGATAAATTATATATGTAAAAATATAATTTTAAACTAGCCTTTTTCGTTATTGATTTTCTTCAAACTACAGAGTCTTTTTGGGTAGTTTCAAAATATAGAAAGTCTGCCTCTATATATTTAAATTCCATGTTGCAATTTTAGTTGGTTCCTTTAATTTAACTAAACAATAATTAGAATAAGTGTAAAAAAGAAACAAAGTTGTGACTTTAACCAAAACTATTGTCTCAAACATTATAAACTTGAAGACAATGAAGGTAAGTAATTTTTTTTTTTTTGGATGAAGAAGGTAAGTAATTATGTAAGATAACAAAAGAAACAGAAAAAAGAAAATCTGATAACAGAAAACATCATATGACAACATTTACTTGACTATGCCTATAAAATTTGCATTTAAATAATATATATATATATATATATATGATATTAATTTTTATTGATGAAGTATATATAAAATATTAATTTGTAGCAATAGTTTAATTTAGGGAAATATTTTATTACATTTCAATGTTTGTTGACTAAAATATAATTTTAAGAGGGTGACATCTGATTTATTAGCTTAGAATATATAATAATGAGTTGGAGCGTCATGTGAACTCTCCTAAGTCATAATTGAAAGAGAAACCAATAAGATTGAATTTTAGTGGCAGAAGCTGACAAAATAACGTGAGTTTTGGTCGTGAAGAATGTGGGATGCATAGTTGGCGCAAGAATATAATATCCAGATTCTAGGAAGCAACTTGGCCCCTATTCATTGTGGAAAATGGTGCTTATGTGTTGCATTTGTCGTCATGTGTATATTTCTTAATTATTGAATAAGTGCGCACCGTGATTTCATATGTATAAAGATTACGGGAATCTGAAGGATAATTATATACCAAATAATAATCCAAAAAGAGTCGGGCTAGGGTCAAATCCAGGCAATGTAAAGCCTACTTGGCCGTCCAAGTTGAGATACAATTATTAGAATCCTTTTCTTAATGTACAATAGATGCATAGTAGAGAGAAAGAGAGAGAGAGAGAAGAGCAAATACTACAGAAGGAATATTTGCTCAAAGTTAAGTTTTCCTTTCAACCATCTACCACTATTTATAACATGTAAGGTCTCCACGAAACAAGAAATTATAATTGTTATAAATTCATCTCATGATAGAGAGAATTTTAACGGTGGAATATTCTACATTAAATCAAAATACACCAAATATTTGTTTATTAATTCAACACAATAACCCAATTTTCATTACGGTGGATTGGTAATTCCAACAGAACCTATGTTTCTTACCATGTTTTGTTGTTTCTTCTTTCCCATGCTTTGTTAATATGTAATAATTGTTACCGAAATATTAAATTTAGATGACAACGATTGTTCTCAATTAAAAAATGGGTTCTTGTAAATTCTAGCAATGACCATAACAATAAAAAACATGAACTAAAAGAGAAATAGAAATGAAATGATTGCACACCAAGAGTTAATAATTGATGTGACATCACTAAAAATATATTCAAAAGTAATATTCTTGAGGAAAATTTAAAGTCTTGAATATGATATTCTTGAAAAAAATTTAAAATCTTGAATATGATTAAAATAGATAACTTAGATAGCTTAAACTTATTTTAATTAGGTTCCATTTGTATTGATTTTACTCGGATTGAATTCAAAATATCTAAATATATAAAAAAACTTTTTATATCTAATTAACCTGGCCTAATACTTAAGGCTTTTAACTTATTCGAGTTAGCCAGACAACTCAAATTATTATTTGTAGATACATGATTTTGCAATGAACCTTTAAGTTTTTTTTTTTTTTTTAGGACCAACTAGTGGACCTTTAAGCTGTAATGCAGCTGCTTGGAGGCCCAAAATATAGGAGAGATGGAGTTGTTCGTCTTTTCACTTCATTCAGTAGCGTCTTTACATTCAGCCATTTGTGTCCATCTTAACATCTGAAGTTACCAACTCATGTTGCCTCCGATAGCAAGGGGTCTAAGTTTTTTTAACCATCAGCTCTTGGGTCGAATCTCTAGGGTGATGAGAATGGGAAAAAAAATACTTGGAAGAGCTACCCCTTTGGGGGTCCCACAATGTTCAAATTCGGATTAGTCGAGGCATCAGCTTCGGATGCTAAATGGTTATAACAAAAAAAAAAAGAAAAACATCTCAAGTTTTGTCTCTTTGAAAGGGGCTGCATCTTTCCAACAACCACTGTCTAATAGTTTCTAGTAGTGGAACTCAAAACCCTATAGGGGATACTAGTCAGCTATCATAGTAATTGATAATTAAGAATCAAGCATATACAAGGAATTGCCATGATAGAAAAGTATAAACACAATTTACACATGTCAACCATAATATGAAAGAAGTAAACTATATAAAGAATAATGCCTTTTCTCTAGTAGTCAGCTACCTTTTCTCAATATTTTTTTTTTTTTGGGTTTACTAAACTCAGTTTTTCCAGCTACCTAAATTAAAAAACCAGTGCTAACCAATAAAAGAGTTTTTTTTTATTATATATGTATTTAAGATATAGGTTCTTCATATGATTATTTTCTCTTACTCTTATTCAAGTAATATAATAGAAGTGAAGGCGTGACCTAAGAAACAAGGAAGAACTATTGTAACAATATTAATATTAATTGTACTACTATTTATTTTGCAATTATAACGAATTTTTATTTTTATTTATCAACTTGAAAAGTAAATCTTGAAAAGAGGAATGGGTGATTTTAAATTTTAGACATTTTTCGTATTTTAAATTTTAAGGATAGCTTCTAAAATATATTGACTTGAAAAATAATTGTTTTAAAATTTTATTTTCCAATTTTTCATCTTTTTTGGTATTTGAAAAATGTTTTGACTTTTCTTATTTGATTTATTCAATGTAGTTTTTAGTTTTGTTATATTGCCAAAATATATTCAAGCACTCTATTAAATGTCAAAATCAATCATAAATACAGAACTATAGTTTTCTTAAAAATATGTAAACTAAACCTCAATATAATTATTATACATGTCAAAATTTAAAAAACTATAATTTTCTTGGAAATATTCAAACATCTGTAAACTCAATTAATTCATCCAAATATTCCGCTAAATTTGACTAATCCCAACCAACATCAAATTTGCAAACATTCATTGAAACAACACAATCTCAATTATTCCACTACAATACCAACTGTAAAAGTGCTTGCGTCATGAAATTAACAATGGTCTGACAAAGCTATATATGATTTTAAATAAGTGATTTGCATTGTCAGCATAATCTTGAGCCCAAACCATGTTGAGTCGTTCACGACATTGCTTCAACTTCGTGTGTTGCTCTTCAAGATCCTTTTGCATCCACGGCAAAGCAATATTTGAGTTGTTTCGTAATTCCTCTATAGCATCAAGACCATGCTCACCAAATATACGTTCCATAATCCTTAAATGTGAAACCCTAAAGTGTTCTTCAACACGAAGTGGACCCTTATTCACGTTGATCTTATTCTCAAGTATGTTCTTATTCACTTCCTTCACTCGTTCAGAGGCTGACCTCAGAGACCCCAATAACTTGTCCATTTCAAACTGTTCACCTTCAATTTTGAACAATGCTTGCTGATACTCATTGAACAATAATCTTTTGGATTTAGAAGAGTCTTTAGGACCTTGAGGGTTCAATACGAAGCGATCGTTTAACACTGAAGCATCAAGCTCAGATCTACAACTAACTATAGGACTCTGATAATGCTCAGGCAAACACAAGTAACTGATATAACGTTCACATTTGCTGGGATCGATCTTGCTTGGCTTCTTTTTAACTTTAATTTTCTTAGATCCTTTGGGCAAGAACTTGTTTAATTCCAAGATCAAAAAGTCGTGCCCCTCCAATACTTTCTTCATCCTTGCTATGAAATCTGCAATGTTACACCTGCAACAAATTTAAAACACAGGTACACATATATGTTAGTAAACTTGAATATGAGTTAAAGAGAAAAGAAAAAAAAATTGAAACAAAACTTAATATATAGGGCTATTTGAAATGAACACTATAAAGTATGAGGTAATTCTAGGAACTAAGTATTATTAATGGATATCAGCAATCATATTTCAGCATTACACAGCATCGTTCAGACTGAAAATGAAACTACAACTAAGAGTTCCCAGGAAGAAGAAAGCAGGAAATGCCAAGAAGCATAAAGAAATTGTAGAGGGAAGAGAGAGAGTTCGCAGAGAAGATTCCAAAAATATTCCACACCTACTACTAATGGTTTTCGCTGTGTTATATCCCCTCCACCTCCTCTAATTCACGTAGTTTCCATGATTTCTTTCTCTCTCTTTTACTACGTCGTATTGCTCTATGCACGTGGTCATTGCATGCCTCTGTAGTTGGGCCTTGTGAAAAGTCCATATAGTTTGGGTTCATTACATTATTACCCTCCCCATTAGAAACAACCTTGTCCTCAAGGTTTAGATGTAGGTATAATGTGTGGATATCCTCCTCACTTTCCCAGGTGTGACTAGTAGACCCCTCCTAATTGATCATGTATTGTTTCTGCCATGTAGCTCCCTGTTGCACTACCCAACCATCATCAATGGCTAATCGCTGAGTAATGGGACCTTCAGGACACAACAACACTGGTAAAGGAAAATAGGATTCCTTTGGTTGTTCTCTATGAAATGGCTTGAGGAGGGAAACGTGGAACACAAGGTAAATACGGGCACGTAGGGGCAGAGCAAGTTTATAAGCAACAGTGCCTAACTTCTCAATGACTTGGAAGGGACCAAAATACTTCATAGCTAGTTTTTGGAATTTGCAAAGATGGACGGAATGTTGTTGATAAGGTTGTAGCTTGACCAATACCCAATCAACTACTTGAACTTGACGTCAGTGTGTTTCTTGTCCGCGAATCTCTTCATGCAAGCTTGAGCTTTATGCAAATCTAGCTTA